ATGACCGTCCAAGCGGCAGCGCAAACACCCACGTCGGCCCAGAATAGCCGCGCGCTCCTCAGCGGAAAGGACACCGCGAGGAAGGAGGAAGCCCTGAGGGAGGTCCTCCTGAGGGACCTCAGGGGGCGACGAGCCAGCGTGACCGGGGCGGCTGCGTGCCCGAGAGAGGGCGGAGAGCGCGAGCTGAAGGCGCTCAATTGCAGGGAGGGTAGAGTCCTCCAAGTGTGGACCGCCTCGCAGAGATCGAGGTCATTGTTGTGGTCGCCCTCAGGTGATAGTGGGGCAACAGCGTCCTGCTCACCATACTCCAACGCGCTGAAGCGGCGCGAGAAGTGGCGGCCCTGCTGCGTGGAACGGCGGGGGCGACCGCGGAAAGGGGAACGGCGCTGGGATGTGCCGTGAGAGGRGGAGGAGGCGTAGCCCGTGCGCTGGGGTTAGGAGGAGGAGGCGGGGTGAAGACGGGCTCGCATCCGCTGGTGGTCCCTGGCGGCCTCGTAAGCCTATGGGGCCGATGTGAACTCGTACCGCCATAGCTCGGAGCGGTACTCGAGCGGAAGGTTGGCCAAGAAACGATCGATAAGGGCAGCCTCGGGGAGGAACGCCACGTCGCAAAGGAGGCGGGCGTCCCAAAAGACCTGGATGTGGCGATCGAGGCCGGCAGCGCCACCAGAGCCGGACCAGCGTGTAGTGACGACACACTCGAAGGCGTCAGTCACGTCGTATCGGGCTCCGAAGCGATCCTCGAGGAACGCCTGGAAATCCATGAAGGCCGGAGTCCGACCCTCACGAAGGGAGTAGGCATAGAAATCCTCCCAGGTCTCGAAAGGACCGCCATGCAGGCGCGTGGACAGGTGACCCACCCACGTCTCGGGTGTGGCACCCATGAGCTGGAGTGTGCGGGTGGCAGACTGCAGCCACCGAGACACGCGTATGCCTGTACCGTCATACAAGGCGATGTCCAACAAGCGGATGAGTGGTGCGCCACCGTTTTGGCGGCGAGGGGACCGAGGAGCGGAGGCCTGTGCCACGGCTGAGTAAGTCGGCGCAGGTCCTGAGGAAAGGGGCGCAACCGACTGTGCGCCCGGGCCGCATGGGGGAGCGGCGGTGGCAACAGCGGCAGGTTGCGAGGGTGCTGCAGTAGAAGAGGTCGCAACAACCGCGGGAGTAGGAAGAAGGTAGGAAGGAGTTGTATATGGTGCAGGGCGCGGAAAGCGAGCCTGCATGGGAGGAAGGGTAGAGGAGGTAGGGGGTGCGCCCGAAGGCGCGGCCACCTGTGAGGGTGGGGGTGGCTGAAGTCGAAAGAGGGCGAGGTCGGCCCGGAGCTGGGCAATCTCGTCCGCGAGACCTCGAACGTAGGTCGATCGAGGGGTTGCGGGAGGAAGAGTGGAGGGGGTGGACGCACAAGAGGTGCGGGGCATCCCCGAGGGAGGAGAGCCAGGTGGCGCTGCGGTCGTGCGAAGGGGAGGGAGAAGCGGGGCACCCGGAAAAGCTGAGACCATGGTAGCGGGTTGTTGTACCGTGGCCGTAGTGATCGGGATCTGGGCGGGTGCGCCCGTAGACTGAGGGGGGGCCTGGCTCGTGGCGGCAGTTGTGCTACGGGCGTGGACAGTCACCAAGATGGTCGGGTCAGGCGCAACGGAGGAGAAAGCTCCACCGTGGCCACCCTGTCGGAGGAAGGGGGACCCGGACTGGGAGCCGGGAGATGACGGACACGTAGCGTCGTGGAGTTGCTGCATGCCGGCGGCAAGGGTCACCACCTGCGCCTGTAAGGGCGCGAGGGCCGCGAGTTGCGCCTGGATGGGTGCAAGGGTCGCGAGTTGCGCCTGGATGGGCGCAAGGAGGGAGGTGAGGAGGGTGTGTAGATCCCCCTGGGGCAGATGGCCCTGGTCCGCCGGCACAGGTGTGGAGCCCGATGCCGTGGTCATCGCCGTGTCGGCGGTGTGTGACGCACCGTCGGCCATGGGAAGATGACGGACCAGACTGGAGGGGGCCAGAAGAGGTCCGCGTGAGCGGAGGGCGTAGGGGAAAGTCCGCGGTAGAAAGCGGCGAACGGCGCTAGCAAGGCTAGCACGGGCGCCATCAAAGGGGGAGAGGTGGTTCGGGTCCAGGGTGCCCGAAGAGGATGAGGAAGTAGGGGGGTTTTGAGGAACCCTAAACCCTACAAAAACCCTAAGGAAAAACCTAACCGAGGTTTAAGTGGTTAGGGTAGGGTACCGGTGACCTAATCAAGAAAGTAAAAGAGCAAGCATAGGGGGGGGAAAAGCGGGAGAAAAATAAATAAGCAGCCAGATGTCGAGAGAAAATAAAAATAAATAAGGAAATAAATAAATAAGGAAATAAATAAATAATAAAATTAATTAAAAAAATAAGTAAAAGGATGGAAAGGAAAAATAATATTTATTTATTTATTTATTTGTTTATTTATTTTTTAAAATTTTCGGCAGCATTTCCCTACCCCCCACGGGGTCAAGAATGTGCCAAGGGAAAAAGAGAGACCAAGGTGAGCACACTAGAGATGCCGCAAATAATAAAAAGAAATTTTAGGAAATAAATAAAGAAATAATAAATAAATAAATAAATGTGTGAGGAGGTGGGGAGAAATGGGTTATCTGATTTTTCAAAAATTTTGGCAGCATTTCGTTACCCCCATGGGGTCGAAGTGTGCCGAAAATACTAAGTAAGAGAAAATCAGAAAATTTCGGCAGAACTTCGTTAACCCCACGGGGCCAAAACGTGTGCCGAAAGCAAGAAAGGCTAACACCTAATCAGATTTAGGGTTGCCGCCAAGAAATTCGAATTGTCAGAATAAATAAAAATAAATAAAATAAATCAAAAAATAAGAAAAGAGGG